TATTTTAGTTGCATTTTAACAACTGTTCTGCCTATTTTATAAAGTTTTATATTTAATCTAATAATAGATTGTTAGAAATTGAAGTGTGAATATAAGAATAAAAGTTTAAGATTCATTATTGTAAACTTTTAAGTTAAGATGTGGCGTGAAATTTTTAGCTCGTTCATAAAGATATCTATACTACGCATTTCCCTAATCACTCCAACGTGATTATGTAATATTTTATATGTAGTCTAACATGTATGATTAGGTAACACTATGGTTATGTTAATCTTTCTCGGTGAAATGTCACGGTACTCTTGTACTATATAAAAATGTCTCCCTCTCCCATCCAAGGTCTCTTTCAAAAGTAAAAGATCCAGGTTTCAATCCCACTCCTTAAAAATTTGGCCCAAAAATTTAGCTAACACATGCTTACTAACAAAAAAGGGAAAAAATTAAAAAGAATAAAAAAAAAACTCAAGACGACATTGTTTGGTTTCATACTTGGCAAGAAAATCAACCTTTCACTGCAGCTTGATTTCGTACTCGGCAAGTTAAGATAGGCCCAAAAATTGGATCTTCCAGATACGAGGAGGCCTTGATTGAAGTCAATCCGCTTGGCCCAATTTCAAATATTAAGTGAGTGTTTGGAGTTAAGTATTTGACAATCAATTTCTTCTTATATTGATCATTAATATTAGTTTTAAGTAAAACGTAAGTTAAATGCCAGCCTATCTAGTATATTATTTTTGGATTTGAGATTCTGCTAGGACTGATAGGCAAGAGCAGTACTAACAGTTATTATTGTCAAGAAATCATCAAATAATAATAAATCAAGTTACAGAGAGTAATAATAATTTTTATTATTCAGCTACAAGTTGCAAGAAGGGTCCATTTGATGTGGTTTGGTGATGATGCTATGGTAATTTTGGAATTTTTTTCCTGTTGCTGTTCCTGAAGGTTTGCCTTTAGCTTTATTAATGGCTTTTGTGATGAAAAAGATGAACAATAAGGCACTTGTTCTTCATTGCATTGCTTGAAAGACGATAAAATCTGCCACTACTATCTGTAGTGAAAAGAATGGTACTTGTAACTACCTATGATTCAGTCCTAATTTTTAATGGGGATGTATAAATAGCTAGATTTATTGGTTATGTTTCACTGTGTTTAATGCAACTCAAATATATTGTGTGAGTTAATCTCTTAGAGCTTATGGTATATAAAATGGAAAATGATTAACAGTACACCAGTGTTATTAAAATCAATCTGGGTATCGATCCGGTCGAAGTATTGAGTCATTGGATTATTGGTCGGATCGATGGGTCACTGATCGAACCGGTTGACCCGGATATATATCAGTATATATAAATGAATATATAAATTTAATAATAATCTCCAAATCTAAAATGAAATAAACAAGGTTCACTAAATAAGCTCAAAAATTATTCAATCACACTTTTACAAATTCATGAAACACAAATAAATGAAAATACATGTTATTATTATGTCAATTTAAATTGCAACTCAGAATTCTCATAAGCATACTTTTCAATGACATTGAATTTATATTTTTCGAATTCATCTACATTGAAATGAGATGTCACATTCTCTTAATTTATTGTTTCGCAAATTGCTTCAGTATTGGAAAACTGAAATTTGAGGTCATTATAGAAGTGTATAATATTAGCAAATAAAATTACAAAAATGAGTTCTACATTTTAAATGCATGAACCGACTGGATCATCGGGTTTTGATCGAGTTTGACCGGGTCTGATACATGACCGGTCCAATGTTTGACCCGAACCGGTCCAATGACCGGTTCGTTGAGTTCTGGGTCGGGCCTGATATCACAACACTGCAGTAGACAATATTCTGTCAGGATTGATAGGCAAGAGCTTATGCCAACTGCAATAGTTGTTGCGAACACGTCAAGTATATCGCTCGTACAAGTAATAAAAAAGTGAGTAGAGTATCGTTCCCATAAGGATTAAATATGCCAATCACTACTCTCATTATTTCCCTTGATTTGGACAAATCAAGTAGTTTAGAAGAGTAATTTTCAATTATAAAAATTAATTAAGAAGGTAATTGCAATTAAAATAAATTTCAAACAAGAACGCACAGAATTAAAACGGGATTTAAGAAATCAATAACGAAACTGTGGCTAGGGTTTTACTTCTCCTTTTATCCTCCTCAAGTGAATTAATTTCAATTTATTAATACCCTGTCTTAATTAATTCAAAAAAGTCATCATCTAAAATTAATTGATTAAATACTAATTTCTTAGAACTTTAACCCTTTATCCCAATTAGAATTATAATGTCTTATAAATTCCTTTCAGATTAAACTTTGAATGCGATGGATTATAAAATTTACAATTCTTACAATCCTATGTCTAGATCATCACGTAAGAATTGATGTTTATCCCTGTCAAGACTAAGATCCCAATATGCCTATCAGTAACCCTAACTCTCTCTATTCCTATATGAGTGATCAATTCATAAAAGAATTAATTATTTTCTAAAGCAATATTGTTCCAGAATCAAGAACCAATAACTTTCCAAAGATTGAAAAAGAGAAAGTGAAAGCGAAAAGAGAGAGATTGAGGTCAGAGACAGTGTCGTGGTAGAAAACGATGACGGCCAAATGTGTATTGGTATAGGTATTGGTCGCAGAGGAAGAGAGAAAGGGTGTGCGAGAATGTGAGGAGAAAGAAAGGGGAAAAAAATTTATTTTATATCGCAAATATTGACCATTGGATGAATTGTAATCGAACGGTATTAAAATGGTAGGCAAAATAAGGATAGGTAAAATAATCTATCCCATATTTACAAAAAAAATAAAATAAAAATAATCTATCCCATTCTTAACATTTGCAAAAAGAATAGCATTAAAAATTATTTTAGATTTTAGCTGAATTTAAAAAAAAAAACCAGTTTAATGTGCATATCCTCAATAGTTAAATTAATTACTTTGGGGAATATTAGTCTCATGTTACATAGGAGTAGTTCTCTCATGTCATAGAAAAATTCAAGTGGAGCCCACCTTTAAAAAGCAAAAAAAGAAGAAAAAAGAAGGGGGATGCGATTTTTAAAGTGAGAGAAAATAAGATAACTATTTCATATAAAATAAGAGTAATATTTCTCAATTAACTTTTATATACCAAAAAAAAGTCAATTACTTTACGTAATAAAGTCATTCTGCCACATAATTGCATCTAAGTGATGTGAAATAAATAATAGGAGGGATCAATAATGTACACCCAACATTTTTCTACATTTTTATACTCCCTTTATATTAATATTTCCATACTACTTAATAAGATTTGGCGGTATCTAAAAATAGGATATAAATAAGTTAGCTTTGAGGGTTAAGTATTTGTAAAATATTTTAGGCCTGGCCTGATATAGCTTGTATAGGTTTAAATTATAAGTTTGATATGACTTATATTTAAAAAATAAAAATAATAGTTTAGATCTGTTAGCTTGTTCAGGCTTATTAGATATTTAATAATTAAAAAATAATAATATTATTTTATTATTATTCAAAATTATTAATATAATAAATTATTTATTTTATTTAAAATAAATAATATGATGTAAGTCAACATGTAAACAAAACTTAAGACCTATATTCTAAATAGGCTTTTTTTGTGACCTGATCCTGCTTTATTTGATTATATTTAATAGATCTAATCTGATTTAATAATAAAATAAGTCGTAGGCCACGACTTTTTGACCCTTATGACCCTTTATTATTAACTAATTACCGATTTGACCTTGATTATAAACTATTTCAAAAATTTAACCCCCTCAAAAAACATAACACCAATCTGCCCCTGTTTGACCGTTGACTACCAAGCCTACCCGGGTACACCCCTCTGTACCCGGGTAATTTTTGAAAATTTTTGTCTACCCGGGTAAGGAGGAGTGTACCCGGGTATTGTTCTTCGTACCTGAGAAATTGCTTGAATTATTTACCCGGGTAGGGAGGGGTGTACCCGGGTAAATCTTCGACCACCCATTTGGTACTTGCTATAACTGGGGCAACTTGTAGCTGATGGATATAAGAACAGATATGATTTATTTGATTTTACCACAAGTTAATTATATTTGCGGATGTGTAATTAATTGTTTCATGGTAAAAATTTTTTTCTCTTTTTTTTACAGCTAATGAGATAGATCAATATTATCAAGTTAAGCATGCCTAACCAATTTGAAGAGCTTTTAGCTTTGAGAATGGATTTGAAATTTCCATACATCAACACTTTACTGCTCATCAAAGCGGTCCCTGTTCGTATCGATTATGATGGGGTCTACTTTTATAGTGTTAACTGAGAATTCCCTTTCTGAAATAATCGTTGAAAAATATTTGTGTGCTTTACAGACCCAAAAAAGTTGCAGAGGCGGAGCATGTGATAGTGGGTGCCTCCATATTCAAAGCTTGGAGAAGAAGAGTGCATGGAGATCCAAAGAGTAATCATACCCGGGTGGTCGAAGATTTACCCGGGTACACCCCTCTCTACCCGGGTAAATAATTCAAGCAATTTCTCAGGTGCGAAGAACAATACCCGGGTACACGCCTCCCTACCCGGGTAGACAAAAATTTTCAAAAAATACCCGAGTACATAGGGGTGTACCCGGGTAGGCTTGGTGGTCAACGGTCAAACAGGGGTAGATTGGTGTTATGTTTTTTGAGAGGGTTAAATTTTTGAAATAGTTTATAATCAAGGTCAAATCGGTAATTAATTAATAATAAAGGATTATAAGAGTAAAAAAGCCCGTAGGCCACTGTTAAGTTCAGTTGACCCATTTATACCTCTCAACACATGAGCTAAACACCTAAGATTAAACACGGAAGCGCCGATAAAGACCGCTAAATCAACGGTCCAAGATGTGCCACGCAACCACCGCTCCACAGAATGGATAAACGATTACCGCATATGCCAAATCCCCAGTCAGAATATTCGCTTTCAAGTTTTAACACCAGAATATTCCCACGTTGTCTGAATTGCGTGTTGTTTTCCTTTTCCTCTAGGTAAAATCCTCTCTCTCTCTCATTTGGTTTCCCATTTCTTTTCCTTTGAAAACAGAATCCACAAGTTTCCATTTCAAAATTCACCACACCCTTCAATTTTAATGGCTTATTATGCACCGCACCAATTCCCTTCTTATCCTTCTTCTCTCCCAATTCCGTTCCTTTCAATTCCCTCCACCTCATACTTTTCCGCCTCTCTCCTTCTCAGATTCCGATTCAACCTCATAGCACTTTCCGACGCCTAGTACCAAACACAACAACGAAGGAACCGTTGCCGTTATGGGAAAGCGTAAGAACCATAACCTATTTCTTTTCTCACTATTTTATGTTAGCTTTCCTAGGGTTTCTTCTTCTTCTTCTTCTTATTATTATTATCTGATTTATAACTTGTTAATATAAATTTGCTTAATTAATTGATGTGTAATCTTAAGTGCTGCTATGATGCCATGATTTGGGGCAAATGATGGAATTTGAATGAAAGTTGTTGGTAATGGTTATGGTTATGGTTATGGTTATGGGTAGGTAATTCTCAACGTAAAAAAGCTGCAATGTTGGATAGTGACGATGATAGTAGTGTGAGTTCGTCATCAACTTCCCGAACTGATCACATGTCGGTGTCAGGGACCGAAGAAGTGCATTTTGATCAAGATACTCTGCTCGACCAAGCTCTCGATGCTTTAGATGAGAAGAGGTACTTAACTTTCTTCTTTGCAATCACAAGGGTTTAGCATCATTAGTTTTCCTTTTATATGATCGTGCCTCTTGTAGCTTATTCTATTTAATTGATATTCCTCTTCCTTTTGAACCTAAGGGATTTTTTTTTTTTTTTTTAATTTTTGTGATAAAGGGGTGCTACGAGGGAGAAAGCTTTGTCAACCATCATCGAGGCATTCAATAGCAATGTGCAGCATCAGTTTGTGGAGAAAAAGTAAGAAACTTTCATTTCATTTTTAACTTTTTTTAATCAGTTTTCTGTTGTACAATCGTTTGTTATGTTCTTTTATATCATTTACCTGATATATGTTTGAACTTACAAAAGTTAGATGAAGATAAATTGATATGTGTATTTTATCAAACCTAACCAGTATATGTTGTAAACCATGATGCATTCCTGATTGCGGGCCAGCTCTTCTTTGGCCTTCAGTTGATAACTTTGAGTTAAACTATTAACTATAATTTGGTCACGTAGAAAAAGATGAAATCAACTTAGAGCCTGTTTAGAAGCTCGGTTTAGTTCAGAAAGCACTGAAATTGATTTAGTAGTGTTTTCTAATTGGTGGGGGTATTGGCACTCCCAAGTGCCTATTCATATCCCGGCTAACTACTTTTAACTGCAAATTCTAAATTTTCCCTGATCTTTTTTTCCCATTGAAGTGAGACCTAAGATATAAGATATTGCAGTTCAGTTGAGGTAAATTGCAATTGAAAGTATTCAATGGGGTGTATGAATAAAGAATTGGGAGTTCCAATAGCCCTGCTTTTGTTTATTTCTTTCCAAAACTGAAATTAAGTGAAAAAATGCAAAAGCGTTCAATACATGAGAGGCCACTGAATGTGTTGAGCAGAAACTCTTTCCTTATTTAAAGGATTAAATCATCAAATGAAAAATAATATCCTTTAGTACATTCTTATCTATCATATTAAACTATACTTTCCTAATATTTTTTTTAAACAACTGAAATTCATGCTTAATTTTTCATTTTTGGAATTTAAGTTCTGAAATTTCAGTCTTATGAAACACACAACCAGTTATCAATCAATTACGTCAGATATGATGTTTGTGTCTTCCTTACCCTCGTGCCTGCATTTTTATGCTGTCTTCCTAACACTATTTCTAATATAACTTACCATGTCAACTGGTTGGATGATATGCAAATTATATTCATCTGAAGTATAGATGTTATATGTTGTCACTTGTCACCTATCTTTTTATTAATCTTTCTAATATGATTGTTACTGGATGGAGTGTTAATGGCAAACAGTATTCATGTTAAGTATAGATATGTTATATCTTTACCCATCTATTTGCTTACCACTTTTAAATATTATGGTTCTCATCTTAATGTCCTTTCCTTTATTAGATTTGCTACCTTATTACATCAGTGTCTTGCCTCAATAAAAAAAGGATCCAAAAAGGCATCTACAACTGAGATAGCTTTGGCATCTCATACCATTGGTAAGATTTTGATTAACATACATACTTTTGATATTGCCTTCATATATTTAAATATTTAATTTGGTTCTTTTGAAGGTATGTTGGCCCTTACTGTAGGATGTGGTGATAATGCACGGGAAATATTTGAGGAATCAATTCGTCCTCTAGATGAATATCTCATATCTAAATTAGATTTGACAAATATTCCATCGGTAAATAGGAGTTTGGATATTTTGGAAAGTCTTGTTTTCAAATGTTGACTCTCAATATTCTCTGCTAAATGACTTTTATTTTGTAGTTGCTGAAATGCTTGGCTATTATCACTTTTGTTGGTGGGAATGATCAAGAGGAAACAGAGAGATCGATGGACATAATGTGGCGAGTGATTCATCCCAAATTAGGTTCCAATGTAGGCATCTGTTTCAAACATACTTGTTAGTTGTATTTGCTTATCAATCTCAGCTGTAACATGTTTCTGCTAATAATTGTCTTGCCTTCAATGATTACAACTCTAAATATGAAGACCTTTCTTTCTAGATTGTTGCATTTTCATTTTCTACCTTAAATTTACTGTTTCAGCTATTTTATTGTTTAGGTAGTTGCAGTCAAACCTTCTGCTGCATTAATAACTGCTGTAGTATCAGCTTGGTCCTTTCTCCTCTCTACCATGAGTGAGCTGAAGCTAAATTCTAAAAATTGGCAAAAGTAAGCAATCCCTTTTCTGTATATCCTTTTTCAGTTAATTTTGCATTAGTTTTAGGCAATGTGCTAAAGTGCTTTTCATGCAGCTTATAAGTGGCTTTAGATAGCTAAATTACGCAGGTGACGTGGGACTGCGCTTAGCAGGACCTGTCCTCCTAACCTCCTAACATCAAGTGCAGTTCAGTCTGCAATCTAGATTACTGGATAGTGACCTCAACTTGTTGACACATTCATTATTTGCCAGTTGGGAAGATAACAAAGGGAGTCTGTGCTTCTGCCCTCCATTTTTATAGTTGACTGGCTGTTTAAAACTCTCAAATTATTTTGACCTCTGTGATAGGAGGCAATGTTTAGGATTTGATATCAGATTTAGAATGGAAGTTTAAGAGCAGGGAGAGTAGGGAGGATGAGATTGTATTGTGGACGGCAATTGAAACTTGAGAAACTCCTCTCATGCATCTTCGAAAAAATGCAAAATGAGAGCAGGAAAATTGGGTGAAAAATTAAAAACACATTAATAAAATTAAATATTTAAAATCTTGAGTTAACACAGTTATTTTATGTTTGTAACACTGGCTGGGATCCAAATAATTGCTCTTATTGTTGCAGTTCAATATCTTATTTATCTAGTCTTCTAGACAAGGAAGATCGGCCTGTGCGTATTGCTGCTGGCGAAGCACTGGCTCTAATTTTTGAGATTGGAATTATAGAGAAATTTTCTGCTGATTCTAAGAGTGCAAGTGATATGACTCAAGAAGAGAGTAAACTGCAAGAAAGTTACATCCGTATACAAGGACTGAAAGGCAAGGTCATAAATCAAGTCAAAAACCTTTCTGTTGAGGCTGGTGGAAAAGGTTCTGATAAGAAAGATCTTAATAGTCAGAGGAACTTGTTCCGAGATATTGGGGAGTTTTTTGAGGTACTTTAGTTGCCTTTCTTTTTTCTTTTTAAATTTCCTTTTAAGAATATAAGATGTATTGCTTATGGAGCACAGAGGCTTCTTTAATGATCTTACTTTAATACCTTTTTTACTAGTATCATTGCGCTCCTGAAATTTCAATGAAGATTGGTGGTGATTCACTTCAAACATCTTCATGGTCCCAAATGATGCAGGTTTTTTTGGCATTCATCTGTTTTTCTGACAAAGCTTTCCTTATTCTGTATTAGCATTTTAACATCCATATTTTTGCAGTTGAACTTTCTCAAGCATTTTTTAGGGAAAGGGTTCATCAAGCATATGCAGGTTGGCTTTCTCTTGACTTTTTTCTTTGATAAGTTTCTAATTGTTTGAAAAGCTTATAATTTTGGTGGTCAATTTTTCATTTTTCTTTTACTCTTCTCCCTTGGCAAATTAGGAAAATGAATTCCTTCATGATGTCTTTGATTTCACACCAAGGAGATATCTTAATAACAATGAACAGCGAATGTCTAGTGGTGAGAAGGTTAGTTTGTATGACTGATTGTGTTTAACTGTCATGTGTTCTTGTTACTGAATGTCCTCTTATCTGTGTTGTATTGTTATATACTTTTTTTTTCCCTGTTGCTTGTCATTATATGCTGATATGTATGGTATTCCCTCTTATAGAGAATGTTTAAGTCTCCGAATTCCCTTCAGAACAAGGCTAGGACCCAATTACTTAATAAGCAACGGTTGTTATCTGAGGTAGGCGTCCTTACCATATAAAGATCATTAACTCTTATTTTCCTGTTTCTAATGCTTGGTTAAAATGGGGCACTTAAATACCATTTGAAATTACTTGATAGCTATGTTAATTTTTGACTGTAAGAAACATATGGTGAATCGTTGCTTGTGCCATGTAAATAATATGGTTACTTTACTCGGTCCTCACGCTGGAGCGAGCTGAGGGTCCCTTTGACAATTTCAGTGCGGGGAATTTCTGAAACGAGACATTCTGGGGTAGACATCATGTGCAGTTAGCTTTGCACTGACACAATTAAGAGCATTCCGTTTGTTTGACAAAATCTTGGGATCTCAATCTAAATATGTCAAACCAATTTTCACTATCTATTAGTCTAGACTGTTTAATACATGTCTCAACGTAAAATTTTTCTTTAGACACATTGAATTACAATGGTTATTGGTGTTTTTTTCCCGTGGTTCCCAAATTTGGTCTGGTTGCAAATACGGCTGTTAGTAATACTTACGATTTTCCATTATGTAGTCATCTTAAATATTGTGGGGTTACTTTGATAGGCACACCGTACTGAATCTTGTTTCCTTTTCTTTTCTCCTGGTAAATTAACAGGGCAGAAATCTCGGTCACTACGCAGCCAATATGGTTGATGACGAGGCGATTTGAGTGGAACCTCTTAATTAAATTTTCGGGATTTTCATTTGGGGATTCTATCTTTAATTTTATACTTGATTATATTTTCTCTGTCCAGCTCTTCTGACTTACTGGCTAGGAATATTTTTTCTGTAAACTATACCGGCATATTCTTAATGAGACATGCAGATTACGGCTTGTATATTCCCTTTGTTTTTTCTCTCTTTTAGTTTCTAATGGCAGGCCGAAGAGTTTGCTCCAAACTGTTCTGCTGTTTTCTTGAGGCGATCTCTTCATTCTCTCGTTTTTTAATTCTTTCTATAATTTTGCATTTTCTTAAGAGTGATTTTATACTATATATAGAACTCTAATTCATATATATATATATATATATATATATATATATATATATATATATATATATATATGAGTCAAGATCATTTTACACCAGTGTAAGTTACACTCTTAATCTTGTCCGTTAATTCCACTTTTATCTAAGGGCTCAATTTTTTTAGTAATGAGAGCCATTGAATACAAGCGGATCAATGATCAAGATTGAGTGTAAGACTTCTAACTCTTACACCGGTGTAAGAATATCCTGCCCCTATATATATATATATATAGATATATATATATAAAGGTAGGATCCTTTGACACTGGTGTCAAATTTCAATTTTGACACCTCATCTGAGAGTCGTTATATAAAAAAAGAACAACGACTCTGATTTGCAAGCATTTGACACCATTGATCTTTTTTGATCTAACGGCTCTCATATGAGGTGTCAAACTTCAAATTTGACACCGGTGTCAAATGATCCAATTGAAATTTGACACCGGTGTCAAAGGATCCTACCTCTATATATATATATATATATATATATATATATATATATATATATAGTACCGAATGAAATTCGAGTTAAACGTAAAGTTGAATCTTATTCATTAAATTATAATATTCATTAAACAATATACAATTTAAATATTGTAATATTTAACAATTTATAATTACAAATTAAAATTCGTTAGTTCGTAGAAGTTGTACTATTTCTAATTAATTTATAAAACGTGTAATTTAGAGTTTATTTATTATTGGCTTATTTTAAAATACATTATGGTCTTAATTCACTAAAATTTTAGAGTAATAAGTATTCATTTTAAAAACAAAATCATTTTAAAGTTTTATTCCATAAACTAATATGCAAATATTTCAATTATGGTGCGAATGAATTTCCAGCTTTGTAAATACTTTGTTTTTCCGTAAAAACATTCAAACTTTCCACCTATGTGAGAAATATATTGAGCATTTCGTAGATGCATAACAAAAGAATCGAATAGAATATGGGAAGTCTATAAATTGACTGAAATACATTTAGTAATTGTCAGAAATCAAAATTAAGAATTTCTAAGAAAACCTTTGAATTTTGAACTATAAGTGGTATTTTTCTCCACATCGATAAGGAATGTAGATGATTAATTGATTTAAAAGAAAGAAGAATAAGCTACAGCATTAGTAAGCTAATAAGTTTATGAAAATATTAATCGTTTACTAAATTCAAAATGAAAATGGCAACGTAAAGAAAATTTAAGAAATTGTAAAAGTTGAGTTTAAAAACATGCCAGTAAAGATTTTTAAAAAAAAGAAAAGAAAAGAAAAACTTGCAGGTAATTTTGATCAACATTTTGAAGAAAATTGAAGAAAAAAAGGATTTCTGGAAGCTATAGACGTTAAGAAAGTATTTGCCAAAATAAATTTAAAGTAAATGATGTTAAGAAAATATCTTCTTACAATATTTGCCAACAAATACTAACAATTCAGCCAAAAAAAAGAAAGAAGTACTACTAATAATCAAAACTGTGGAAGAAATTATATCAAGTCTTTAATCATATTGCTTAATATTTTTATATAAATTATTTGCAAAACCTATGGGAATGATTCATGTAAGTGGGAGGTGCATGGAAGCTGTAAAGTGTAAGGGATTTTCAGGGAAGGGGAAATGTTTTTGGTACTCTCGTTATATTTGGCAAAAATGTATGTACACCGAAAATGAGCTCGAGGGAAGGAATAGACCACGGAAAATTAGGTAACGACAAAAGAAAAGAACCTATCAGTTATCACTGCCTCTTGCTTTTTATGCCTTTACTTAGATTCCCATGTAAATTGAAATCAACTCCACATGATGGGCACCTTTTCTGTTTATAAGATATCTCCATGTGCAACCCTCCCTTTGAGAATTTTGCAAGCATGATTTCTTCTTTTACCACCCACTAACTTTTCAAAATTGTCGTTCATTTCTTAAATATATATATATATATATATATATATATATATATATATATATATATATATATATAGTAAGGAAAATAGTTTACATGAGAAATTTTTTTCATGTTACATTCACAATACACGCGTGGATTTCATCTTTTTTTTTTTTCTTCTCACCTTTTTGTGGACTTTATCTATATATTGTGTGTATAGTATGAGAAATTTTTTTCTTATAAAATGAGAAAATTAATTCCTATATAGTAAAATGTTAAACAAACTTGATTATCGTATGACATGTGCATTTTAAAGTTTTATAACAACCACACAATATTCTTGTATGTTTAAAAATTATTTAACATGCAGGAAAAATAAAATAAATGCAATGAAATGATTTTCCTTTGTTCTATTACTCTTGAATTTACTATTTTTAATGAAATAAAAATATACCTTTTTTTAATTTCTTTCCTTGTTCTATTTTATTTTAAAAAGTACAGTATATATAAAGAAAATTATTTTTTTCATTTAAAATAAGAGAAAAACAATCTTCTAAAGAGAGATGAGAGAGAATAAGGAGGAGAAAAAAAAATTAAAATGAATTCTATATTAAATTTGTATCTAATGTATAAGATAATAATTTCATGCAATATGAAATTACTATTTCTCATATATAATTAACAAAACTCAAATATCATATTTTATTCTATTATAACACGGTTACCTAATGCTAACGTGATCATCTTGGAACTTGCCCTACAGTTACAGTCTCAACCCTCAACCATCGTCATAAAAGCCAATCCAGCTATTCCAAGGTACCGGTACCGCAGCAATTAATATATATATATGGGTAAAATGTGTGTCATTTTAAAGGATGTAAAGTTGTGTCATTTTAAGAGAGAGAAAGAGATAGATAAAGGAGGAGAGAAAGTTGACAAAAAAAATAAAAATGTGGGTCCCACCTCTTTGTGAGAGTGAAAGGATATAAGTTGTGTCATTTAAAAGAATAAATACTTTTCCCTATATATATTGGGTTTTGTTGTTCTCATTTTATGGGAGAAGAATTTTTTTTTGCAGCTCACACAAGTTTTTAATAGGTCCCACCATATATTAATTTAAAAAATAAAATAAAAATTATAAAAAAAAATAATGTGTCATAGGCAGGAGAATAGCCTTCTGCAGTCGTAGTAGAAGCTATTCTCCCATATATATTTTGGAAACCGGTACCGCAGCAATATATATATATATATATGGGTCATGATAATTTTACTCCAGTATAAATTACACTCTCAATCTTGTCCGTTGATCTCACTTATATCTAATGGCTCTAATTTTTTTAATAATGTGAGCCATTGGATACAAGTGGATCAATGGTCAAGATTGAGTGTAAGACTTTTACCTCATATATATATATATATATATATATATATATATATATATATATATATATATATGAAGTAGGATCCTTTAACATCAGTGTCAAATTTGAAATTTAACACCTCATCTGATAGCCTAGATTAAAAAATATCTATGGTGTCACATGCTTACAAATCAGAGTCGTTGATCTTTTTTTATATAATGGCTCTCAGATAAAGTATTAAATTTCAAATTTGTGGTGTCAAAGAATCCTACCTCATATATATATAAATTTATCTTATCCAATACAGATATATGATCATCTTACACTGATGTAAAAAAAAAAGTCTTACATCAAATTGTAACTTATTAGAAATTAATAATTAATTAATGTGATATAAAATTTATTATTCTTATACAATGTAAGTTGATTTTGTCTTATATATATATATATATATATATATATATATATATATATATATATAGAGAGAGAGAGAGAGAGAGAGAGAGAGAGGTAGGATATTCTTACAGGACAGTTACCCTTTTGCCACAGTGATCCTAACTATTCAACGGAATGTCACCCCGGAGTAAAATTTGGCCAAAATGCCATTTCACATGTTGTAACAAGTTACATCTGGACACATGAGACATGACAGGCTGTTTGAGGCCACAATACTCTTTGCAAAGTGCAGCAAGTTAGGCCCAGTCAGCATCATATATTGTGCAATCTAAAAAAGCTGTCCATGTGGCATAACTCTCCAGTTGTCCAGGAGTTAAGGGCAGGTGAACAACTTTTTTAGATTGCGCAAACTGACTGGGTCTAACTCGCTAGACAATGTGGAGAGTTATGCCACGTCATCCATGTAGACATTGACGGGGCCTAACTCGCTGCACTATGCAGAGAATATTGTGGCCTCAAACAGCGTGCCACGTGTCCAGATGTAACTCTCTATGTATTGTAACGAGTTAGGTGACATGACATTTTGGTAAAATTTTACACTGGGATGGCATTCCCCTAAATAGTTAGGATTACTACAGCAAAATGTTCGTTGTCCTTATTTTTACACTCGTGTAAGAACACAAAGTATTACATCAAATCTTGATCATTAATTTACTTGTATCTAACGATTCAAATATTTAATAAATTAGGATCGATAAATATAAATAGGATAACAATTAAGATTGAGAGTATAATTTATATCGATATAAAAATAATCCTATATATATATATATATAATTCATCGATGCTTGAAGCTCTAATAGACCATATTAATACGATTTTGAATTTAAACTTTTCTAAGAATTACAAATTTCAAGAATCAAACTCATTACTCTTTTTACTAGATTAAATCCTAAAATCTAATTGCAACGCTACTAAATCAACAAGTCTTGGATACAACAATCAATATTTATCTAAAGCCAGAAAGTCCAAGGAGACAAATGCATGTAATTTGTAGGGACCAAATTGTTAACCGTGTCAATGTAAAATGATGTTTTTAAAGAAAAATTACGAAGGTCAGATCAAGTTTTTGTAGAGTTTTGAGTTTCTTTTTAAAATATTTTAGGTGAAGTAAAAAATTATAAAAGTTATCAATAATTATCGATTTAAGTGGCTTTTCTCATTGCACCAAACCAAATGTACCAGAGGTCAAGACGTTCGCAGAGCCACCTCCAATAAATTGTTCTATATGTCCGAAGGACGAAGGATAAAGTGTGTGTCATTTTAAAAGATATAAAGATGAGTTATTTTAAGGGAGAGAAAGAGATAAATAAAGGAGGAGAGAGTTGATAAAAAAAATAAAAGTATGAGTCACATCTCTTTGTGAAAGTAAAATGATATAAATTATGTCATTTAAAAGGATAAATACTTTTCTAATGCATGAATGCTCTTTGTTAGTTTCTTGTCACGAGGTCAAGAAAATGCAGTGTGAACGTATAAATAAAAAATGAATTATTGGATTTAATATCTCTCATGTCATAGATAATTAAATGATCTTCTACACATATATAAAAATATGTAGGGTGTATTTTTTTTCTTTTCTCTTCACATGATTCTATATGGATTTGACATACTTTTATGTGTGTATACATAATAATTTTATCTCCTACAAAAAAAACATCAAATTTAATAATACATAGTAATGGGGAGTGACATAATATATTTTTAATGATACGTTTTGGATTACTTAAACTTTGTTGAAACTTGAAAGCAATAGAACAATTTTGTGTATTTTTAGATTAACTTATTTTAAGACTTTTTATGTATTTATTTTCACAACTTTTTGAATTAAAAAAATAGTTATTTCTCTGAAAATAATAGTCATAACTCATAAACATTCTTGTATTCTTTTAAATATTTATGTTGGTGATCATTAACTGACAAAAGCAAACAACATTTAAGGCGACACCAATGAATGGAGACAAGTTGATGAGGTCCCTTTTGCTATGTTGGCGACAGCCTTTTGGTTTATCTTTCACTTCACTTTCTTCCTTTGAATGTTGCTCTCCAACCCGAACTACTTCTTTACACAATTACAACACCTAACACTATCCATCACCATGAAGTATGAACACAGACCATAACATTGTTGAAACTTGAAACTAACTTAAAGAATCTACCAACATTTTCTACTCTTATTACAAAAACATTCACCATGCCAGAAGAGAGAGAAAGTATTTAAATAATTATTATTAAAATCAGATCTCTGATTGAATAATATAGTTCATTATTACATTTCATTTATATAAGCTTTGGGTTGGTTCTTTTAGTTCCTGTTTATTTAGGTTAAAGGTTTTTAAATTTTTTTAACATCAATTTTAAGATGCTGATCTTTTAAACCAATAAGGGTCAATTTCAGAATATCCAAACAGAGAAACAGAAAGTCCAACAGAAGGGTACCTTTCATGGCGTCGAGAACTGCTAAAGTTCAAGTCTTTGGAATCTGGGATATGGTAAAGTCCAAAGCTCTGTTCTCATTATTGTTTGTCTCGCCTTTTTCTCACCTCTCACATGCTCAACCGTGTTCATCTAGAAAACCTTTTTGTCCTCTTTTTTTCTTATGACACCCATCATTGCCTTTGAAAAATTTGTCATCTCTCTCTCTCTCTCTCTCTTCATTTTCTACCAATGGAATTGGTTGTTTCTTCCCATGAATTACGGGGTTTGGTTTTCTGCTACATTAACGTTATATTCTTCATTTCTTTGCATTATGTTTGATAAGAATCTTGTCTTGAATGGTCTAGAAGCCACTCTCTGATTTCCATTGTTGTCATGTGACTTGTCTTGTGTTTTATCAGCCATTTAATGACTCAAGTTGCAAAATTTCAAATTCAAGGTAAAAAGGGTGCTTTTGTGACATTCTTCATTTAGCTACTTAAGATCAATATTGCTTTAGCTAATGAATTATTGAATTTTAACAGAACGTGTTTCTTAACACATTGATTTAAAGGTGTTGTGCCATTCGTGAAGGAGTGCACTGAGAAGTGATTTCTGTTAGCTTCACTTTCAAACGGGTCCACACTTTTTTTTGGTTTAAGTTCCTGGTCGATTTGGAAGATGCTGTGTGCTTGTTCCGGAGAACAATTCAAATTTGAAGAGGCGCCACAGTCACCGGAGTCTCTGGCAACAAGGGATTTCTCTGCCAATGGGCTTTCTTCAAGGACTGGGGATTCGGAATCCAAATTTGATGAAACCCAAGTAGAAGATGTTGAGTCTACTCTAAAAGAAGCTCTCTCATTAAACTATGATGTAGGAATTAATGTGTTTCTTTCTTTGTGAAATTATTTGTTAAAATAGCATGTAGGTATCTTCTGCTAATGTCAAACAACTGTTTTATTTTAGTTTTTCTCATTTTTTGGTGAATTTAAGGAAGCTCGGGCTTTGCTGGGGAGGCTTGAATATCAGAGAGGGAACTTTGATGCTGCCCTTCAAGTGTTTCAAGGTATAGACATAAGGGCTTTGACCCCAAGGATGATTAGGGCTATTGCTGAAAGAACCAAACAAAGAAAACCACGTTCCAAGATTGATAATGTGCTCTCTAATGTATTGTCAATGCATTCAGTAAGCCTACTTCTTGAGGCAATTTTGCTTAAAGCCAAATCCTTAGAGGAACTTGGGCGATACACTGGTATTACCTCCTTCATATCTCTTTTAAACGTTTAGCATATTCATCTATTTTGTTTTATTAAACATGCTCTTGCTATAACCTGCAATTTTTGCGTGTATGGTATTGAAAATTTCTTTCTTTGACAAAGTGGGTCATGAACAATTCTCCATATTTGCATCAAGAGATCTACATTATGTATGAGTGATTTAGCACTCAAAGGTGCCAATTCTAATTATTGCTGCTTTCTTATTTACCAGAGGCTGCAAAGGAGTGCAGAATAATTCTGGATACAGTTGAATCTGCTTTACCTAATGGAATACCTGAGGGTATTGGTGAAGATTGTAAGTTGCAAGAAATGTTCCACAGAGCATTGGAGTTGCTTCCAAATCTATGGATGAAGGCAGGTTTTCTAGACGAAGCTGTCATTGCTTATCGGCGGGCACTGGTCAAGCCCTGGAATTTGGAGCCACAGAGGTTGGCTTGTGTACAAAAAGATTTAGCTACCACACTACTCTATGGTGGGGTTGAAGTGAACCTACCCTCTCAGTTGCAGGTGAGGGGCCAAACAACACCTATGAGTAACATTGAAGAAGCAGTACTTTTGCTATTAATACTCTCAGGAAGGATGGCACTTCAAGAAATAGAGTGGGATGCTGAAATAATGGATCATCTTACATTTTCACTTTCAATTACTGGAATGTTTGAATCATTGGCAGATTATGTAGAGCAGATCCTTCCAGGTATCTATGATCGAGGTGAGAGGTGGTACTTTCTTGCTCTTTGTTACAGTGCAGCTGGACACGATGAAGCAGCCTTGAACCTCTTGAGGAAGGCTTGTGGTAGTTCTGAAGCAAAACATAGACCCCATTTTCCTTCGTTTTTGTTTGGTGCAAAACTGTGTTCCCAATATCCAAACCATGCTCATGAAGGCATTAAATTTTCAAGGGAAGTTATTGATCTAGCCAAGCATCAAAATGAGCATTTTTTGAGTCAAGGACAAAAATTTCTCGGTGTTTGCTATGGGGCTGCGGCTAGAGTATCTGTACTGGATTCTGAAAGAATCATATTTCAGAGAGAGTCTTTGAACTTACTAAATGATGCTTCTCTAACTACAAATGATGATCCGGAAGCGATATTCAGCCTTGGACTGGAAAATGCAATGCAAAGGAATCTAAATGCAGCTTATGACAATATAATGATGTACTCAGACATGATGGTTGGAAGCTCAAGAAGAGGTTGGCAGCTGTTAGCACTCATAGTATCTGCACAGCAACGGTTTAAGGATGCAGAAACTGTTGTTGATTTTGCTTTAGATGAGGTTGGGAGGATAGATCAATTAGAACTACTAAGACTGAAAGCTGTACTTCAAATTGCTCAGAAGCAACCCAAGCAAGCAATAGAGACCTACAGAATTTTACTATCAGTAATTGAAGCAAAAAAAGAGCATTGGCTTCAAGCTAAGAACTTCGATCAAGCAAAACCATTCAGGGACGAGGTTTGTATTATTGTTATTGTATAGACTTATATTAAAGTTGATTGCAAAGAAGCAATGGCTCTTGCATGTTGGAAGCTGTTAAGAAATAAGACCTTATGTTGAGACTAGTTAATTAGATTTCAAACCATCAACCAATACTCCTCTACCTTATTAAATACAAAAAAATTATTTTGTGGTCCAAATGCTTATAGTAAAAGATTGGGGATTTATGATTAGGGACAATTTTAAATATTGCTAGTGAAACGATTAGATTCATCTCCTGAATTCTTGTGAAGAATTTCCCTTCTTGCATTTTCATCACTCTTTGCAGGCATTAACAGAACAGAAGTTGGAAATGGAAGCCTGGCAGGATTTGGCTACCATTTATGCAGATTTTAGTTCTTTTCTTGATGCAAAAGCTTGTGTTGACAAAGCCCAGCTAATAGATTTTTTCTCTCCCAGAAGTTGGCACATTACAGGTATGAAAACTGCTGCATGTTTCCTGTGCTTTGTGTTTATGACCATGGTAACACAATGCATTAACAAATCACTAAAATATGCTATATTACATGGTTGTGAAAATGGCAGGGAAGTTGTTTGAAGCTCAATCATTATACAAGGAGGCCTTTGTTTCCTTCTCAATCTCATTGTCAATAGAACCGGATTACATTCCAAGTATTATTTCAGCTGCAGAATTGTTGCTTAAACTTGGTATGCAATCACTTCCAATTGCAAGAAGCTTTTTAATGAATGCTTTAAGATTAGAACCAACAAACAATGATGCGTGGTTCAATCTTGGATTGGTTTCAAAAATGGAAGGTTCATTACAACAAGCAGCAGATTGCTTTCAAGCTGCATATGAGCTGAAACTTTCAGCTCCAGTGCAAAAATTTGTGTGATTGAGACTTTTGGAGAACTTCAATTTTTTTATGTGGTTGAGGGAAAGTGAGCTAAACCAAGAGCATAATAGAAAAGTCATGAGACGCAACTAATGGGAAAAAAAGTTCATCCCAAGGTTACCCTTGTTTGGTTAACTATTTGTTCAAAAATGTATAGCTAAATCTAGCTACTTATATAGAGATTTACTTCAGTATGTTTCAATGGAATGTACTAGATCCTTTTTTTTTGGGCCTCATACTAGTTGTAACTTTTTTTTTTTTTTTTTTAAATTGTTTTTTAGTGCTGTGAAAAGAAATTACTTTATCATTTATCACTTTCAAATTTCTCATTCAAGGTGTCCTAAGTCCACCATAGAAAGATAAAGCTTAACTTTAGTTGAAACTTGAAAGCATTATTATTGAAGGTGTGAACTCGAAAAACAAAAGTCATAGGGCTATTTGAAATCTGTTTTCAAAAACATTTTTTTTTAAAAAAAACGAAAATACTTGTTTGATAAGTTCTGTTTTGTGAAAATACTTCTAAAAGTTATAATTATTTTTTGGGAAAAGTATTTCTTCAGTCAGTGGAGATAAAGTTATTTCCAGAGAACTCAAAACGACGTTGTTTTGGGTTATAAGATTAAAAAATTATAATGATAAAAACTAATATAACCTTACAATATATTAGAATTATAAAAACATCTTGATTTCTGCCTCAAAAAGACGTTGTTTTGGACTCACAGGAGATAACTTATCTCGATTGACCGGAGAAATCCTTTACCCTTATTTCTTATTTTTAGAATCAAATTTAGAGAACATATCTTAATTGTTTTTATTTTGTGTTTTTATTTTTAACTTTCAAAATAAAAAATATATATTTTATTAACTATTCTATAAAACAATTTTAAGAAGAAAAAAAATAAAAACCAACGAAACAGACCATATTTTTTCTGCTTAAATAAACTATTGATTAAAAAAATATATTATAGTAATAATCTTTTATTCATAAGAGCTATTTATTAGATTCATTAATATTATAAAGAAATCGAAAATAAAAAAATAATAATTATTACATAATTTTTTACTACAAAATTTACACTTAATTTCCAAATTTTGAATCTTACATCTAAACTATCGAATTTAGATTAAATTTAAAATTTTAATTCAAGGTACTAATTTTTTTGCACAACTCAAACATGAATTTTATGATTCTAAACCAATTCTAATTCTGACAAAATTAGAAATGAAAATTAAAATCTGGAATCTGAATCATGATTTCCACTTAGGCGGCGTTTGGTTGAGGAGAAAATTTTTAAATACTAGGAAAATGTAATTGATAGAGAAATGGTTGGAAAGTGAGTTTGGTAGAAAAATGTAAAAAAAGTTGTTTGGTTGAAAAAAAATTTACTAGAAAAATTAGATAAATTTTATAAAGTCTATGTTTGGTTTGAGGTGAAATATAGATGGAGAAATAAGTTGTAATTACAAAAATATCCCTACTTTTAAAAAAACATTTCAATCACCAAGAACTGTCAGTGATATTGAGATCAACACCATCCTAGCGGGGCATTTCTGTCTCACCATTGTGCACATTTTTTTCAGTTGCCTTGTTATCTTCAAATACCACCTCCAATGTGGTTTTTTCAAACAGTAACTTTTGCATCACTTTACACATAAATCTGAATGGATGGGGAAGATGGTTGCCTAGCATTTTTTTTCTTAAACTTCTACCAAACATAGAGTAATTAAATACCCACTCTCATTTACCCATCAATCTCACAACAAACCTCCTACCAAACACCCCCTAAATGATTGGATTGAGTAACAGTTTTAGTCCTATGATTATATCTTTTTGGACAAAGATGGATAGTACAGTATGATAGAAAGAAATGTACTAGCTAGTCCTTAACCGTTCGTTAATCCGAATAAATTCAGAATCCCATTGGGATCCACTAATAATACTCGCACAAAACAAATAAAGCAGAAGTATCATCTTAAGGGCTACCCTTCACTCATTCGTTATATGTAAGGCACTCAAAGCTTGAATCAATAAACATGTAACATGTTGATGAGTTGAATTTTTACAGAGAGAAAATGGAGTTGCTGAAATATCATACAAGGAAAAAAAAAAAAAAACTATCTTCTCAACTTATCCCCATTTCCATTCAACATGAATTATTTACAATCAAACAGAATATTTCTTGGACTAGAAAACAACAAATTGCACTGATGATACAATTGCAGTAAAGACTTTTGTTTATCTTCGGAACAAGGGAAGCATGCTGTGCATAGAATTTGACTGGACCTATCACTAATACTGCAACACAAGAAAAGAAAAACCAATTAACCAATGAAGCAAAATGATCTCCTAAACAATAAAGAGACAATTTCATTCTGTTAAGTCAAAAGTACTTGATATTCGTTTCTATTTTTACACAGTTCAATCTGTTACAAACACTAGTGGTCCTAATCTACACAACCAGAAGAAATCACTGAAGGTAACCTAGTCCAACTGGGTTGGTTTGATTCAGTAAGTTAGTTTGTTTTTAATCTTACTCAGAGGTAGATTTCTAAAAGATAGGGTTAATCCAGGATCAAAGGAATATATTGATTGATATGATAAAATGAACCTATTCTAAATAAGAAGCTAAATCTATTTGCTACCCTCCTGTAAAGAACCAATTCAACCCAAAAGTTTAAGCTGTTGGGTGAGACTACCTTAATGATTTTATACTTCTCTAACACCTCTCCCTTGCATTTTAAATTTTTAATTACTGTATTCATGTGAGAGATTGGTGCAGTTGTGTAACATTTTGCAGACACAGCTATATTGCATGTGCTGCACTTGAACAGAATGTCAAGGGAAAAATTATAAATTTGGTTATCATTAGTATTTTATTAAGATGCATACCCTAAACAATCTTTTCTTTTCTTTTTCCACCTTGATAATTGCTAACAATGCATCTTGTGCAGTGAGCTGCATTGCCGTAAACATCAAACTTTTTGTTTATGTAAATCTTGTTTACAGAAGGAAAAAAAAAAAAAGAGACCGAAAATGCTTTTGGTTCTTTACAATAGGTTTCTCCACATTTTTCCAAGTTGATTTAGTCCAAAAATTTTAAGCATAGAATCCAAACAATCCAGGCCATGCACGCGTTAAATACCCCAATGTGAGAAATGTTCATTACAATGGGTACAAGTACAACTTTAATCATTTACTTTTGTATGTATTTATATAGATGTTAATGCTAAATGTCTTGCAACGAAATCCAAAAAACAAGAGTTAATTTCATAAAACTTTAAACTAAAGAGAGTTGCATAACCAAATAAACAGGCCAATTAGAATTTATCAGATAGATCATTCACCTTACATGTAATAAAAAGTTGAGCCCAACAGACAAATGCCTAGCCTAACTTAACTTTAACCCATCTGCCACTGCATCCACAAATGAAAGAGTCAAAACATATCATTAGTGAGTTCTAATAAAATGAGTATGGTATAAATCTACTTGAAGATTGTTAGTCAAAAAGCATAGGCAAGAAAGCAGCATATTACAGGTCAATGACATTTTTAACGAAATTATTCAAAAAAAAAAAAAAGGTGCAAAAACTCCTAATAAAGAAGCACTGAATGTACCTCTAGAATTATAAGATGAAACTTTAGCAGATTTAATGGCAGTATAAATTAATAATGGCCTAAAAAAACTAAGTGGCATCTTGAATCACCAAACCTTAAGAACAGGTTCGCCTTTGTTGGCATTTGCAGATTGCTTTGCCATTGCTTGTTGCTGTGCACGTGCAGCACGTCCTGCTGGAGAATTCTCAAATTGCTCTTGCCTGCAATTCCAACCAACACATATACGTTAGTCCACAGTCACATCCAATTGGCACTAACCAATAAAAATATCATTATAACAGCATTAACATACATGTCTTTGATGTTTTTTCATGCTTTACCCCATCTCTAGAACTAGGCTTCATTTCATTATCTATTTCATTAATAACATTAACTGCATGCCTTTTGTATTATGACTTCCACAAACTTGTCAGAAAGTGTGATCGCCTAGATATAAACCAAATAGGAAAACAAATGGAGATACATATTTCATGCATAATCATCATAAAAACAGATTAATCTACACAAGTACAATGATCTTGATTCTAATAAACCATGTGGGTTTCCCAATTAAAACCCAAATCAGTGAATAAAAAAATTTAAAAACTTGCAGAGAATTCAGTGGTTAAGATCATAGACTATTCATGAATTTTTTTATTTTTTTTTAAAAAGGAATTTTGAGAAAAGGGTATAAAGCTAAACCTTTTCTGAGCGGCTTCAGCAGCTCTGTTACGCGCTTCTTCAGAGGCCAATCTCTCTTCTTCCTTGGTCATACGCTTGTCGCCTCCACCAAAGCAACCAAAGCAGAGTCCCATCTTCGATTTCTCTCTCTCTCTCTCTATTTCTGATTCTCTCTCTCTCTCTCCCTCTCCCTCTGTGTCTCTCTCTTTCTCTATCTGTTTCTCTCTATGTGTGTCTGTTTCTCCGAGCTGTGTTCTGTTCTGGAACCTTATCTGCCTCAACGATCTCTATTTATTTAATTTAATCTTTTGTACAATGTACAATGTTAATTAATAATAGGGATTTGCTTTCATCGTTTAACACGAACACAAAATTTTTTTTACACACGTAATATTTTGTGGGATCCATATGTTTTGAAAAAGGGAAAAAAGTTTTCGATGTTACTTTAGATAACTTTATCAAATGTTCATCGAAACGACGTCGTTTTGGGATTGAAAAATTAAAAAAATAGAGAGATAAAGACTATTATAACCCTGAAATAAATTAAAATTATAAAAATACCATGATTTCCGTCCCAAAACGACCTCGTTTTGATGAACATTAGATAAAGTTATCTAAAGTAACATCAGAAAAAACAAACCCTTTGAAAAACTAAAAAATAAAGCTACTGCACGCAAAACGAATCTCTATAATATAACACAATCATTTTTTTATCACATAACTCTTATAAAACTCTTAATAATAACTGCGAAAAATAAGTTTGTGTCCTCATTTACCCAAAATTTGATTGGTCATATTTCATGTAAATTTGAATAGTTTTTTTTTTCCGTCACATCGTTGAAGTGTAAAGTAAAAAAAAAAAAAAACTTTTCAAATTTATATAAAGTATAACCGATCAAACGTGTAAGTCAATAAAAAAATACAACTTACGTCCTTCAAAAGAACAGACACTCAACCCATAATAATTAACATTAAATTATTAATGTTGCAAACTCTAGGCAAAGAGGGTATGATCTCATAATCCATGTTTAGAGATTAATATTTCTTATATTATAATTTATTTTTTATACACATAAAATATATAGAGTTTATACGAAAGATTTGGTGTTTATCATTTATGTCATTTTAGGAGAGAGATAGATACAGAACAATAGAAATCATGGAAAAGTGAAAGTGGGTGGGTTTTTTTAATTTAAAATTTAAATAAAAATTTTGTGTGTGTTTGTCTCTCTCTTAAAAGGACTGAATATTATGTCATTTAAAATGACAAACACTTTTCCTTTATATGAATTTATATGAAAAAAAATATAGATTCTATTTATTTATTTTTTTTGTATAAAAAAATAAATAAACCTCATGTTTATTACGCGTTAAGTTTGTGCCAACTCCTTTTCGTACTTTGGCTTCCGTTGGGACTTGGTGGATTATTACACGTATTAATTGTTAAATAATTTATATTTAATAATAATATTACTTAAACAATTAAAAGAAATATGTTGTACGCGTTTCCTTCCTTGTACTATTCCGCGTTAAATTTGTTTCACCAACTTCCTTGTTACTTAGATCACGGAGAAATAATCTTAAAATAAATATCCTTTGGTCCTTAACAAAAAATACGATCTCTATTTTAGTCTTTTACAAAAATAAATTAGTCTGTTAGTTCTTAACAAATTCAAAGTAGACACATTTAGTTGAAATCGTGATCCCTCACAAATTTAAAAAAGACCCATATTAGTCCTATAAAAGGACTAAAATAGATCCATTTTAAATTTGTTAGGGACTAACTGACTACTTTATTTTTGTAAGGGACTAGAGTGAGGACCGTATTTTTTTGTTAGGGACCCAAAAGAGTATTTACTCAAAAATCAATTTAAAAATTCTGAGTTTATTTAAGTATTATAAAAAACAATTGGTTTTAAAACTTTATACCCCATTTGAAAAAAAAATGTATCTTTTCCTTAAAAGGAGTCTTACTTTTTTAAAGTCAAACTTAAACGTGCACGTAGTTTTTTCATGAATAATTGAAGCAAACTTGGGTATCAAACTCGACACACTTATTTACTAAAACATATAATTTTTTTCACTTTAACACTTATTTTTTTCTTTTTCTTTTTATGTTCTTTCAAACTTTTTCAATTTAATAAATAAATATATCAAATTCGGTTTATCCGTAATATTAAAAATATTTCCTAATAATTGAAGATAAAGCTTAATAAGATAGGAGGCAAAGTACAAAGTAGATCTAGGAATCTACGATGCCAGCAAACTGCGGTTGTGATTGGGCCTCCATGCTACGTCATCATTTTTCATTTCTTAAAGGGAATGTTTGGTATCGAGATTTTTTTTAAAAACATGGGACAACTCACTTTGGATTTATGGAATGTCATATTTGGTACCAAAAAATTAAAAAAATTCCTGGATACATTTGTTTTCCGAATTTTGTTTTCCTTTGCAAATTTTCGTACGGACACCATCAAAACTTTCTCAAAGATTTGTTGGAATTTTTCATCACCTGAAAAAATAACAAATCAACAGCATAATTGAGGGCCAAACTAACCCTCATTTTTGTGAAGAAGCTCAGTACTACGTAGCATAAAGCACAATACATTATCTTCCTCCCCCTTTCAAGCCATTGCATTTGTGTATTGAAATAAGAGCTATTCTGTTAAGTAATAACTACAGAACAAGTGTAGAACAAGTGTAGGTGCTCATGCTGCCATGCTTTATGCCTTATCATACATAAAAGATGCTCTAGATGCAGATGGTGTGAAGAGTAAAGCATGGAAAACGGAAAAAAAAAAGGGTTTCAGGGATAAGCTCAAAGCAAAGAACGAGGTCGAATATCAGATAGAGAGAGAGGGAGAATCGAGCGAAAATGAACGCTGGAGAAAAAAAAAGAATGAAAAAGTAAGGTGGGGTTATTTTTGTAAAATAACCCCACATTACTATTACTATTTCACAATCAACCAAACACAGCTCAGTAAACTTAATCAAATATTTTCGGGATAAATTTGTGTAAACCAAACACATTTTTGTAACTTACCAGAGAAAAACTATTTCCTACCATATTTTAGCAAAAACAGTTTTCCGATAAATAAAAAAATCTCATGTACCAAACTCTCCTAAGGGTTGTGTTTAAATCAACTAAAATTTGAAATTATTTGTTTTAATTTAATTTGATTTATGTGATTTAATTGCAAAAATTAAATCTTGTTTAAATTTTTAGAAGTCCTTTTTTGTTTTATTTTTAGATTTATCGGTTAAATTTTTTCATGAGATTATTGAAATTGATGTATTAAATGATCTTAAGTGAATTAACTAGAATAAAATAATTAGTACGGGTGAAATAAGTAATACCAAGTGAAGTAAAGTGTCGATTCTGGATGATTATTATCTTGCTAATTAAGTATTACTTAAACCAAGAGCTTATTTTTCTAAAAGTTCGAGTATTAAAAGAACAAAAATAAAACAAAATAAAAATGCAACTAAAATAAAGATGAGCATGAATAGGAGGATCTAAACCTGATATTTCGATTTCACCTTACATGTTTCGTTAAGATTATTATATTTCCCTTATTAATATTAATTTATAAATAATAAATTACCCATCTAATGCACAAAATTAGAACTCCATTGATTTGAATATTAATCTAGACTATAAGGTATTTAAAAGCATATGTCTATACCAATAATTATTGGTTCAAGTGATAATAAGTTTGTTCTTCTTATCCAAAGGTCTCGAGTTCAAGCTTTGAGAATGAAAAAAAATGGTATTGGAAAAGCTTCCCCCCATAATGGATCCAACAGTTCTGGAACCAGATTAGTCGGGTAATCGATGAATCGATAAATATATAAAAAAGCCATATATTTATACCAATTAAATATATTTGTTTAAGCACTCAATTTTGATAGTGTGTGTAACATCCTGTGTGCACCTGATGTATTAACTTAATTATGTTATTAAGCACAGTTAGAATTTAAGTAATTAATATAAAATTGTGACTAAACTTTTTCCTTTTTCAGATAGATGTTAACATCTAGAATTCATTTCTAGCTTATTCACATCTACTTCCTTAAATATTAACCTTACTTTGGTTAGAAGTATCCTACATTATTCTACAATCTCATAACAAATGGCCCACAAAAGCCAAAAGAAGTAAAATATAATTTGAAGTTATGGGCTAAGTGCGCTTTAATGCCCAAGAGTGCGCTAATTGAAATCTGCTCTTGTTTAGTTCAGTAGCACGTTGTAACGCTCAGTAATAAGCTCAATAACTATTTTCACTCATTTAGCTTGCTCTAGCACGCTCAAATGGTTGCTTACTACCTCAGAGCGCATTTTAACGCCCTCAAGCGCATTACAGCACGCTCGAGTGAGGCTTTTTTTGGTTTCCAAGCGCACACACTAGTATCGAACTTGAGAGGTTCCCTTTTGGAGTATTGGACTTCTATTTATGGACATAACCCTCCTTCAAGCACCTAATAGACCATCTCATCAATCTTTCCAAATAATCAAGTATCAATACATTCATTTCATCCATGAATCCATTATCCTTGCATCAAATCATCACATTCATTACAATATTTATCTTGACATTAATATGACCAAAAATAAAAGTTATACTATACTTGGCTTTACTCCTTATATAGACGCTATTATGACCAAATATACAACTCATCATTAAGACATCTAAATATTCATCTCCAAAAGAATGGTCCTAACATGCTACTATATCAAAATAAGCCAAATCAAAAGCATAAGGTCTCTCATGCACTAAGCAGGCTTCTTCCCCTGAGAAGTCCTAACTCCTTCACCTGGAGCACATGAAACATAATCCCCAAACGGGGTAAGATAACAATCTCAGTAAACTCAGGGTTCTTGGAAGATTCCTCCACACTTGAGTTTACTTTCCTGCAAGAAATGTCAGAGCATATGACATAGTATCATCATATACACAACAACAATAGTGAATTGACTATACTTGTGCACCTAATGCACTAGGACCACTCTAATGAGTCGTACCTCAAAGCTAGTGTCCCTATGAAACTTTCAAGAGCCATACCTTTTAAGATAAATCCCCAAGGGAAGTCCATATACATATTCTATTGATCAATGAACTTATTCCAATCAATTCACAATATAATGGCTACCAAATTAAAGCACATCATATCAACAACCAATTGCATACCAAGTCCACATGAATGCAACTATATCATAACTCTAATAATCAGTCATTTAATCAAGCAATTAACCAACACTCCTAAG